ATCTTGTGGTGCCGTGACACAGAGGAACAAGGAAGGAACACAAAATGTGGGACTGTCCCACCCCTAACCGTTTTGTCACATCTGGTCCTCAAAGCAAAGAAACTTTTGAGCGATCGAGAGCTTATATTTGTTATGACAGTGGACGACGTCCGTATTTGCTTCTCCACTTTACCATCAGGACGGTTTCCCCTAAAACCTTTCCACCTATACGCGCATGCACGACAGGTAAGAAAGGCATTCTGGTTGCGATGCCGTTGATACCCACGCAGAACATTAACATGCTGCCACCATTCACAAAGCGCAATCATCGGTCCTGTGGATTTGAACAGCTACAGCCAGAAGATAAAGGCATCGACGACAAGTAATACACACATTTCTCTCAGCCGCTGCAAATTGGGGCATCCTTCAGCTCATGACTGCAAGGGCCGACAGCAATGGCCAAGGCCCTAATTCTTCCCATCCGGGGCAGGATGCTATTTGTTTGGCAACCCAAAACTAAGGTGACAGTCGACTCCCAATAATGACCTTTTCCCACACCTTCTGGATTCGAACCAAGGCTGGTTACTTACGAACAATTGGATGAAGCTTAAATTCTTCTATCTGTTGTGAAGGTTCGGCATGCTGTCTCTACTAACAGACACACTATCTCCTCTTCCACATTTCGGGTAGCCTCTAAATACTACACCTCGTCTCCATTGCTGATGCGGATTCGGCCTCAGAGGGAGCCAAGAGAGGACATGCATTTGAAAGGACAGGGATGATGAGACGGGTCCGTGAACAGGATGAGTGCATACGTTTCTGATTTCTTTCAGTTTATACAACGTGTATCTCCTTACTCAATCCATAACACATATCATAAACAAGGTTAAGTACTCCAAGCAACATTTTGAGTTCCTCTGAACAAAATCACATTCAGGCAATTTCTTAAGCGAAATCTTACATCTCTTCCCCTGCTTCCATTGCATCCTGCCTCATAGATCTCCGTCCGCCTCCCTCATCCCCCTTAAACCCTCACACACGTCGGCATTCAAAAGACGAGACAGGCGTATTCACCTCAATGGTGGCTTTACGTTTTGCTCGTGTGTGTGTGTGTGTGTGTGTGAGGACCAGAGAACCGTTAATCCTGTTACAGTTGGCAGCATGCTCGCCCTTATTGCTTTGTCGTCCTGCGAGTTGGAGGACTCAAAACCATACATTAGCATTCCCAGTCCTCCTACGCAAACCCTTTTGAACATCGGCAAAGATTGATTGCTTTGCGAAGTAAGCTGCTATGACTACATCCCTATTTACGGTTCAGCGGACAACAAAGTCACATCCCCTTCCACACCAACTCCCCTACACTGAATCGAACACTTGGAGTGCCTTTTAACAACTCGCAAAACAAATGGACATCCAATTTCGGAGTGCCATGCAGCAGGTCGTCATTCATCCACAACACTGGTGGCTATGATGTCATCTAATCTTTGCACTGACTACATTGGTTCCCCTTCTAC